AATGGTAATCTCATTTATATTTATAACAAAATTCAGTTTAAAAATGGGTTGTAATTTTAACAAACGAATAGATTAGTCTGTTATTGGCTAATAGGTCAACATTAGGTCATCAAAAAAGAATGTTCTAGGGTTGATTAGTGGTTAGTTTTAGAATTAAAAAGGCATGCTTAATCAAGCATGTGTAAGGAAAATATGTAGATTAACTTAGTGAATGACAGGCGAAAAAATAAACTGGTCTAAAATAATAATGCTAATTATAACTAATAATTTGAGTAAATCTGAGTATTGTGAAAAATTTAATGGGAGATTGGAGCTAACATGTTGAGATGTGGGAAAGTAAAAGCAAAAAACAAAACGTAATGATAACCAGTCAGTAAGAATGAGTGATTAAATCTACAAATCGATGTCATCTAAAGCTCTAGTGAAAGTAAGTCAGTTTCAGCAGGTGTTTTACTCTCTAATCTAGAGATGTTTGTGTAGTATATACTTCAAGATCAAGAATGGAACATACGAGTTTGACCTTTAGGGAAACGGAAATTTAAAACAGGAATCAGTTAGATAAGGTTCAGTTGATTCAAAGTTGAAATACCTCCTTAACAGTAATTCTGATATATATATATATATATATATATATATATATATATATATATATATATATCATTCCTTTCTCTCTTGAATTTCTAAAAACTGTCAATAGTCTTCAATATTTATTGTCCATTTATGAGTTTTGCCTTACAATAACATTCTGCTTACTTCTGAAGTAAGTTAAAAGTACAAAGCATATGAATGTCCGCAGGCAGTCAGCTGAAAAGTTGTAGTTTGATAAATAGTTTTTTTGACAATCGTTGATTTTCGCCACTTTTAACATTAAAAATACTTATTATATTTAGAGTGAATTCTTAGCTCCATCTGTTCGAAATCTACTTTTTACAGAAAAAAGTCAATAGAATTGCCGCTGAAAACTTTTAATTAGAAAATAAAACCCATAGTCTTATGAATTGAATTTAAGCAAGGCGAAATTCAGCGTTTGCAGAAATTTATTAGGTCTCTGACCAACAGTTCACTGCACACAAACTAATAAGATATTAAATCAGCTTCGAGAATGAAACATTTTAAGTATATCATACAGTGATAAAGTCGGTTGAAGTGAAAATATCATGATTTGTAAATGCATATTTCGGCATCATTACGAGAAATCATTTACTGAACAACTCCATTCTGTAGAATAAAATAATATGCATCATAAATTTACACAGTGATAACTTGTTACTATTAATATTATTTTTCCCTTGGGTTCCTATTGGAACATAGAGCTTCAGTAGCAAGTCACCATTGCACTCTCATCTCTGCAGTCTTTTGAACCTAGTTCCACCACTGCCGACAACCTTTCATTTCTTCCTCACATGATCTCATCCACATCACCCTCGACTCAGATGACCAACTCGTCGTTTCTCCTTTAAATCCCAATCAACGGCCTGGCCTGGCACGTGATGTCTCCGAATTGTTTCCTTAGTGTATGCCCAATCTAATCCATCTCCACTTTCCTCTGCAAGTGATAACTTAGAACTAGTAAATATCTCAGGTTGTAAAAATTACGTACTAGCATACTTGGCTATTTCTTCATACACATTTACAGAGGCTGACGGTAACTGGTGAATAGTTGAACCAAAAACCCGTATGTAGACCAGATTAAACTAAATTATGAAAACCACTGTTGATGCATTTGGATAGTTCGAAAACGCATTGGTTACTTTCTGCATTCACAGGCATGATGCTTGCCTGTCTTTGTGATATTCCTTAGCCTAAAACGGCAAGCGACACTGTAAAGAATTAGTACTGGAACTTGCAATGAGTGCAAACAGCTGTTGGGAAGTAATAAATATGGCCAAGTAGTGTATGAAGTTGACTAGTTATACTTGCGAATTGTTCTGTCTTATTCTGATAAGTCAAATTTTTAGTGAACGTAGGTCGTCAGTAAGGAGGTTGCTCTATTCACCGTGAGTAATTAGGATTAGTAATTACTAGTTTATGCTCGTTGACAAATGGCAATGACTAATCTTAATTACTCACGGTGACCACAGAAACCTCCTAACTTATGACCTACGTTCACTAAGAATTTGATGTATTATCTGACTGTATATTTTGGTGTTAGTAAAAATAATATTCTGCTGAAGAAGCTGTGATTTACACAGTGAAACGTCCACAAATATATTGTTTTGATTTTCGAAACACGCTGGGGTCATATTAAATTATATTCTTATGAAGATTCAGTCAAACTCGGTGCTCAACTTCTTCCAGGACATTCATGACAACTATGGTACGGATGTGTATAATCTTGTTTGAACAGTTGTCATAGAAGGAAACCGAATACCTAAAATTAAGTTACATTTAAAGAATTCACACCAGGCGTGGTTAAATATTTGGTTTTCAAATCTTCATAGTGAATTTAACCACACTGTGTATTCACACATATTATGTACGTCTTCAATATTACATGTGCGCCGAGTATTGGTTGTATCTACATGAAGATTTTGCCTGCATAGATAAGAATTTCATAACTGATGCAGTAATTTTAGCTTATCATTACAGTGATAAAAATTGTGGGTTCGAAGTTTTTATGGCTTTAGAATTTTCATCAAACTTTGAACTCTGGAACATCATCAGCGTGCATACACGTTTTTAGCTAGTGTGTGCTGTATCTTGCAATGAAATAAATATCTCCTTCAAGGATATGCATCTTGACGCTTCTAAACCACCTCTTAACCTCGATTTTAACTCATCATTTGTTTCAACTTGTTTGCGATTGGATCAACATACCTTAAACATGAATCTCACTAGGAATACCAAAACTAACTGGGATACATATATTGATTGATCACGAAAGAACAACCAACTTCATGTTGTCTAACCCTAAGTATTGGTCGTTAGTCGGATTGAGGCAGTCCACAGGAGGCCCTGGATCATGGTTTCGTGTTTTAGCACCTGTCAGCCAAGCGTATCTGCAACCTCAACTGAAGTTGGTTACCCTCGGTGACCAACCAATATGCCTAATCCAGTCCCACACGAAGTTATAGCGTCCTGAATAGCTCAGTCGTAACCTATGTGACTTCAGTTCTTGGCTACTCGGGTGCAAATCTCAGGCAAGACGTCAGTTCCGTCAAGTTTGCTGACACGCCTTGCTAACGAGTGCCAAAAAGCATGAAACTTACGTTCAGGGATTCCTGCCCATTGCCTCTGACCAACCAATAACGGAGATAGCGTTTCACTTAGCTGATATTCGCTTTCCGTTGACTACGATGTTACCTAAGTTGATCACAACATGATCTTTAAAATACTGAAGTATCCATGCCTGAGTGCACATACCAGTATATACTGTCCAGGTAGTTTTCTTGATCATCTAATAGGTTAAAATGTCAACTATCTGTCAGCCGATCAGAGATATACTCATGAAACGTATCACTTATTAAGTACATTTCTGTAGCGCATGAAATATATGTAGTTTACTCATCATTTGCCTCTTAACCTTGACTGTGGAAATTTCTCAGGCTTTATTAGCCATAATTTTCTAAGCATTGTTCTCTTAAGTTTGTATAAAATACTTATTTTCAAAAGTCTACTCACTTAATTAGCAGTAGTTTGATAAAATTTTATATTACACTCATGGGTTTCATATCCTTTATTAATGAATTCGGATTTGTTTTTCATGATATCATTTTCAAAAGCACAAACCTTTAGCTTGCACCGACTAAGCAACCATTCTGTTTCACTTCAGAATTTGAAAATCTTCCGATGTATCCACAGCTCAAACAAAGTATCTCATAATCTGAAAGGAATATTTAAAAAGTCAGTATATTTTTTGGTCTGACAAATGGCCCGTTTCTAAGTAAATTCGGTTTGAGTAATAATGCTATCAATCCTCGTTGGATTTTCTCTTTTGACTAAGTCTTTTTAAGGTGAACTAAGTTTTTCTCAGTGTGAAAAACTAAATTTTGCTGAGGTCAACTTCTGTAATAAGGATGGTATGTTTAGTTTATTTTAGAACATATGAATATCAATCAGTGAGGTAAGACGATGGGGCTTCTTACTCAGCAGCCATCCAAAATGACAGATATATAGGCTATCTGGCTTTGACTGACCTCCTCCTACATGACCATATATGACTTATCGATTGGTCATTGGAGAGGAACCAATTTCAAGTTGCTCAGTCCTGAGTTTTAACCGATTTCTGTCGACCAGTATGCATGCTGTCGATCACCTCCAACCACTAACATCAACCAAAGTGCGTGGTGGTGAGTCTCCTAGCTTTCTGGCTACAATCCAAACCTGTCACTATTCAAGATTAGACAATATGAAATTGGTGGGTCTCCAAACTCTAGTCAATGGAATGGAACTTTAACTGTCCCAGTTAAGAAAATTATAACTGAAATGTAAAGCAATTAGTTAATCTTGCTAGTGTATAAATTAATCATAATGTATGTTGCTTCAAACACTAAATTATATCAAGTTTTTAAGATTTCTGATTTGCAAATTTAAAAACAGATGGGATTTGAGGGTGTTTAATTGTTGAATGTTAATCTATAGAGTATTGGTTTCCTGAATCGTAAACACCTAATGAACTATATTTATGAGACCGAAATGAGTTAGCATATTCGTAAAATTTATTTTACTGTCAGAAGAATTTTCTTCAACGAATAAAAACATATCGTGAATCTGTCTGAGAAATTCACAGACGACCATGATAGGTCTCTAAAACCTTTACCTTAATTTTTGCACTTTTGTCATTAGTTTCAGATATATGACTCAGAAACGCCTGATATCTGGGAGTAAGATGGAAGCAGGTTACATGACTTTTAAAATTTCCTGCTTTTCAATGAACTCACCTCAGTGGAAGGTTATTCGACAGTCAAAAAGATTTTTGACGACATTTTTAAGGGATTAGAAAGAATTCCATCCTTTGGAATTTATTTATTCATTTGCCTTTATTCCTGTTTACTTTTCAGCAAACTAAGAACACAAGCAGTACAACGAGGTTCAAGTATCAGAGACCCAGGACCAACACCACAAGAGTTAATTGACCAGTTGGGCTTACAACTTAACAGGAATACAGATTTCCTGCTTAATCTGAGCTCTTCTGTAATGGCTGAAAGTACTCAGCCTATCGAGTGAGTCAGAATGAAAGTAAATAGTAGTTTATGTTAATAATCTCTAAATAACTTTAAAATAGTGTTCATTAGGCCAAAGACTTCATATAGAAAACCACTGAAAACTTGGGATCATTGAACAGCTACTTGCCCTAATTAGTGACTACTTCGTGATACTCACCGATAACCCTTAGCAAAACCCAGGCTACAGTTGTGAGGTAAATTTAAACAGCATAGTGAGAAGACGAAGATTGTCTGAAACATGTGATGTATTAGCGCCATACATTCCGAACAATCTGATCACACACTGACTTGTTGAATACATCACATGTTTCAGATAATCTTCGCTGTTTAAATTTATCAAAGGGGCCAGTTGCTTTAATTTATCAGGTAGCTAGCACTTCACAGTTTAGTAACCAGATCATAACGCATTATTCTAAACTTGAAAACTTCTGTTAATTTGCGATGGACTGTGACTATTATCTAATATCATATATGGATATCCCTCCTTCAATTCTGCTTTTTTGACTCAGCAGGCTGAATCTTTTCTTAATAAGTCTTCAGAAAGCCTATCTTAATGCCATTTGCCGATTGGTTGCCATTAGTCATTTCATTTGTTTATTTGCTGGAAGCTAAAAATTAAAAAAAATTTGTTCCCGAGATAATTGGGATGGTCAGACAAGAAGAAAAAGATTCATGCCGTTCATTATGAAAAAGTTTTATGTGTTGTTGTTGTTATTAGTACACAATATCCACTTAACAGCGAAACTCATTTGACTCGACCTGGAAAAGTTATTACAACTATCACAACACTTCAAGACATTGAGCACTATCATTTCTTGTGTTAACTTACAGCCAGCACAGAACTTGTCTGAACTCTTGCTAATTCTAACTTCATCCTTTCATTTGTAAGCACTTAAAATAGTACAGCGATCAGAATGCAAGTAGCTATCTTTGTATAAAAGTATTACAGAACTACTTGAAAGAGAATTTTGATTCACAAGATCATAAATAAATAAATATTGTATTCTTATAGCACCCAGTCATATGCATAAAGTACTCTCTTACTGGACTAATTAAAATCAGTATTTTTCAACTTTTGAGATCGACCAACATTTTGCCAACCTGTCAGAACTTTTGACTATAATGTGAACTGCTAAGGTTTATGTTTTAAAATATGTTGGTATTTCATGATGCCAAATAAACTCAATCTATTCGCAACCATGGCATCATTACACCTACCGTCAGTTACAGTTATCATTTAAGTAACCCTTACTGTTACAATCTAACAAGTAGAGTATTCATCTTTCACATTATTCAAATCGTTCTTGAGTATATTTGTCTGCTTATGTTATTTATTCAGTATTACAGAAATCAATCCAAACTTTCAAGAAGATAAGTTTCAAAAGCGTTGGACGAATTATTCAAATGAAATGTAGGCTGACCCCTAGTGTATTCAACCATTCAGTAGATTTATTATCATGTTCGACTGGATTCAATTTTCAATTTAAAAAAAATCATTTTTATAAATTTATTATACTTTCAATATTACAAAGTGTTCAAACCATTTTCCTCGTTTTTTATTCTTCTCTTATCTGTGAGTACGAGATTCTTGATACGATGTTCATTCATCTGTTATTCTGTATAGAATTTAGTAGAATCATAACATTGCCAAAATTTGTCGATTATTTTAATATTTAATTAGGCGAAGTATGCACCGAAGATGAATACAAACATTATAGTATAATCAACAATTAAACCGCCTGAGGTAAAAATCATTCCTGACAAAAGCATATGATGTAAGATGTTTTATGAAAAACTTTTGTGTGGAATCTAAATTAGAATGTCGGCAACATTTTGAAGTTTAACTGTGACCTCTGAATATACAATGAACCGCTTGTTGATATGAAACATAAATGAATTCTTGCAACAATATATATCATATACATATTCTTCTTAATGAACTTGAATGCAGAAAGAGCGACAGTTGGAACAAAGTAAGGTGGTGCCATTTTATTTCGCCGGTTTCTCATCAGCTGTTTACAACCTAAAAGCATTTGAATATCATATTACATTTGTGTGTATGTATATGGTTGTGAAACATGACCTTTAAATGTACAGGATGTCAGAAGGCTGCAGGTATTAGACCACTTCCATCTTGTTAGTAAAGGTCGTATACCTTGGTGTCACCACGTCAGTAATTTAGATGCTGGGTGTTGAGTTTTACGGATGAAAGGGAAGTCAGTTGCTGAAATTATGAACCTTCATCGGCTCAAGTGGCTGAGGTAAGTGTTACACATGCCTATTCACCCTCCGCTTCGTTGCACAATGTTGGCTGAATTAGGTTTAAGCTGAAAGGAGGTTAGTGGCCACTAGACTAAACAATGATATCATTGCATAAATTCTTTATCTATTGGTCTCAGCCGTGTAGGGGAATACAGACTTCCTGGTTGGAGTCCATGTGACAACAATACCAGTGACTGGAGACTCTAGGTAACGTGACTAAGAATCGGTGTCAGTAGCGCAGATGTGATCACAAGCTGTCCTTCCCTTAATCATCAAAATGAATTTTTCAAAATATCCAAAAACTTGTCTTTTTCCAATAACTACGTGTTCCTACTCTTATGACTGTTAATATTATCACGCCTATTGAATGTAGTGTTGTTGATAAACTACTCGAGACTTTTGTTCAGATCAACAGCGGTAAATAAAGTGACTGAATTCGTCAGTTATCAAACTCATTTTGGCAAATCCACCAGCTAACATATGCTAGTAAAATGCATATTTTGGAAGTAGACACGTTGAAATGTCATCGATTTCTTCATCATATTTTCTGCATGTAGAAGAGATATTTTCTGAGTAGCGTTGAGGTTATGCTTGGTGTGTTTTGTTTTAGATAGGAATTGACGCTGGTAAATATAACTAGGAGTTTTACGAATGCATGCGCTTCTATGCTTCTGTTGTACCACTTTGAGGAACGACGATATGAACCGACACACCTTTGTGCCAGATGTCATTTCGTCATTTTACATGTATCCATCTGGCTATTTATTACAGTGACATTTATGAATCCCCTAATGACCATCATCATGAAATATGAATACCTCACAATTTGTTAATTACTTCACAGACTTCTGTACTGCATTTATTATGCGTTCTAAAAGACAACTTGCATCACAATAATAGTATGACTTGAGGTGAAAAAGTCACGTACAACTGACAAGTAATCAGCACCAAAAGTACACAAATTAACCAACTATTTCAGCTAACTAAAGTATCTGAAGGTAACCTTAAACGTATATTTCACTAATTTAACAGTAAACTTGGGCATTGTGAATATAAACAATAGATTATGTCCGGAATTTATTCCAGTAAATGACACAATTTCACGGTGTGACACATCTGGAAAGCAAACTAAAATTGAATTACATATTTCATTGTTCAAATAATGGTGTAGTTGATAGAGGTTGGACGCAGTGAAATTAAAGCAGTGTAATGTAAGTCGTTAGCACTCTATAGACAACCACCGATATAATTTTGATCGACGTATGATTATGAAGTAGCTACTCAATTAGAAATGGTTTTATTTTTATTGTAATTATTATTATTATTATTTGTCCTTTGGGTTCCTAGTGGAACACAGAGCTTCGGTAGCACGTCACCATTTCACTTTAGTCTCCAAAGTTTTTTTCAACCTGGCTCCACGACTGCCCGGAAGCTTTACAGAAATCTGCAAACAGTTCTCCATTCTCATTCATCATTTCACCAAATGCCAGTCGACCCATGGTCACATCTCTTCCTGTGCTGTCTGCTCCCAGTCTGCATTCATGTCACCCCACCCATTTAAATGAATTTTGATGTCACCATCTGGGGTGGACTCTTGTTCATTACTGATTACAGTTAGTTGTCTGTAGAATTCCTCCTCCTTCTCTTCATCTCCATTATTTGTAGGTGCACAGAGTAGCGTAGCACTGTATAATTGTAAATTTTCCTCCTTTCGAGTTGAACCTTGCTTTCATGATCCTGATCCTGCAGGAGGAGATTTGCTTCCACTGCATGCGAGAGAGAGCCTTCGATGCTCTCGGGGACATCATGATAGCCACTCCAAAACTCAGTGTGCTTGTGGTTGTCATCTGGGTGGCAATATCGCAGTAGATTGGAGAGTTCACTTCCATTCTATCTGCTCTCACAGATTCGTAACACTTCTATGCCATATCTCTTCATCTCTCTTGCAATCTGGACAGCCTTGCTAGCCAGCTTCAAACATTGTGCGGACATTCCATGGCCTTATGTTTACTTTCTCTTTGATCGAGAGAAGAGAGGACACATCGACCAGCTTAGCTGGCTTCTTGAAGGCTTTCATCAACCGACGTCATTTTGTCTCCCTGATTCCAGTTGGGAATAAGTTTATTTTTATATTTCCTCTTTGATTTGAAGTATTTCTAGTGGTTGGACTGATTTTCTGGGGTAGGATTGCTATTCCCCTGCCCTACCTTCTCTCTTATTCCAGATTTAGGACCGGCTAGTAACTAATGAACTAGTAAACTAGACGAGGTTGCTCTGATTTTACAGCAAGCATGTCGATTTTCAGAACACAGCAATGCACGTTTATTTCATAGAATGTGGAACATTTTGCAGGTGCAAAACTGTCTTGTTAGCTTATGGATAATGTAGCTAAGATTACTTTGAAACAGTCACAACACTTAAACTTATGTTCCATCATTAGTTTATGATACTGCAGAGAAGGTATTCAGATCATTTCCGCAGAAGCTACCAACTCAAACAAAAACATTTCTAGAGATATCACCATATAGGCTAATCACCGATACATTATCAAGGTTATTGCAGATAAGATTGATACACCCTTCAAATACACACGACTTGTAAACGTGTGTTTTAAGGTGCACACGATGCTAGTGAATAATCAGCAAAAAATAAAAACCTTCCACCATCAATAATTCTGTGGGATGGCATAATTAAAATAATTTTCTCTGGAAATCAGTTTCACAGAGTAAACTTGTAGTGGATTGCATAATATGTACAATATTTTGTTTCTCTTAGTTTAAAATTCGAAATTAAGACGCCTTATCACGTCTAGCTTTATCAAAATAAGTAAAATTATAGAGAAGAAGGCGAAAAGTAATTTAAAATAAATTTGACTACAAGTATTCCTGTCAGATAATCAACTTTTACCTGAAATAATGTAAGATAGACACAAAGTCAACGAACTTACAAACATTAGATTATTTGAGAAAAGAAGATTGAAAAGATAATATGGCCATATGCTTAGGTAGCCAAAGGCCAGATACTTATGAAAGCTATAACTTGTCATGAAGTTGAAGGTAAAATAAGTCATACCAGTTGACTTTTGCATGATTTTGAGATCCAGAAAATATCATTTACATTACTGAAATGATAAGCTTATTTAAGAAGGAAACTGAATTGCTGCAAATGAGAAAGTTTATACAGATTCTATCTGGAAATATGAGTAGCCAATATCACTAGAAATCCAAGTGAAATTCAATGTGTTTGGTTACTAGGAAGCCACAGAAATCAATGTATTGTTAGATATTGGCAATGTCCTAGAGTTATGGCACGACAGAAGCTTCTATTTCACGTTTGAGATTTTATTAAAGTCATGGCAGAGTAGGATAGTATTATCGGTGAGTTTCTGATCATCAAACGTTGGATATGTATGTGTATGTCGCTTATCTGATAAAGGCTTTATTGAGTGTCATGGTTGATAACAGCAAATGAGATACACGAAGCTAGCTGGAACCAAAGTTAACATTAGACCGACTATAAAATCATTGTAGCGACAGTTTCCATTACATAAAATGCATGTATTAGGTTTATCTAAAAGCTTAAGCAAACAGTTAGTCCTTATCCCTTCTGATATTCATGCATATGTTCTTTAATTTCCCAACTAAGAATGCCATTAAATATAAAACATAAATGAGTGCCAGAACTGCTGAAGACTAATCCTAGTCAAGCAACTAGATTTTCAGAGTGAGCCGTACTCAAAGGTGGGGTTTTGACGCGGAATCCCAAGAAACATATCGTCATCAAGGCTTCTAAAGGACTACATTTCACAAATATTTGGACTTAAATTAAGGAAGAATCTACGTTTTATCACAATTACATTTAACATACGAGCAGTTTTCAATGTGAAAGAATGCTCTAGTGAGATTTTACATTTTAGTGGATACTATTACTATCAGGTAGTACTGAATGAGCTTTGGTTATCGAATCTAGTCATAATATTTGATAATTTAAATTGCTCTTGTAACTCATGTGAACATCCAAACTGAATATTTGAGGTTAAATGAAGTATGAAGAACATAAAATTCAAGTCAAAATGTTTTGTAACTACTTAGATAAGATTATTATGAAGAAATTGTGCATGTGTTTGAGAGATGTACATTCAGGAAAACAACAG